ATATTATAAAAAAGAAGTCTAAACCGTGAAATAAATCGCAGCGGCAATTCGACGCATTTTCCATTTCTGGCACTCCCCTGGTTCTCCCCACTGTGCCAGTAACCCTCTTCAACCTGTGCTACTGGTCCCCCCGACTTTAGGACGGCAGGGGTAGTGGTGGTGTAGTGCAGTGCAATCAGACTCGCTTTCTTTCCCAGTTCGCACTCGTGCAAACAGATGGTGAATCACACTGGCGCACAGCGCCCACTCAAAGCTCAAAGATATGGAAGTCGAACACACAGTTCAGATACAAACTGGCTTCAACAGGCTATGGCGCATCAGCGCCTGTACATCCCAACTCTCGTCTCTCTGTCCAACACCACTGTTCGCACTCACTCGACTCTGGATCACCCTGGATATCACACGCGCATACACACACTCTCGTACTCACATACTCACCTATCAGCTATGGCGGCTATGGCCGCTATCCCTCTATGGCTATGGCTAGCTATCTCCTTCAGCCCACTTCGTCTTCGGGCGCTCTTCAGACCACCTCGCACAAGTCGCTCAGGCAGCGCTTCCACATGGCTTACGCAGGAATGAATGAACGGCTGGGCGCTGCCTCTTGATTTATACTTCTGACTTGTTGGTCTGCCCCTTTCCCATGCCCTTGGTGCACACAGTCCCACACGGTACTTGCTTGACTGGACTGTGACTGACTGGGACTGGTACCACTGACTGCATGGGTTTGCACTGCCAACTCGACGCAGTCGCAGTGTCGCACTGCCGACATAAAGCAGTTGGGCTCACCACTTGCCCACTTGCCTCTGTCCAAACGCAAGACAGCTTCTAAAGGCCACTTCCGGACCTTCCGGAAGTCTGTGGACTTGGCCTTTCGACACTGTAGCAGCTACGCCCTTGACCCTTGGCCTTTCGACACTGTAGCAGCTACGCCCTTGACCCTTCAGAGCTACTACAGCTACAACCTCTGCTACAAACTTGGCCCCTACTCGACAGGACTACAGTTCAAGACCCGATGACTACACTGGCCTACGACGGACAACAGCAGACTCGTAAGCCGCAGGTCAGGGTTCAAACACACAGGGGTACTGTACACAGGTGAGTGAGGTCTAGGGATCGAGCCCTGGGATCTGCATCCGCTACTGCGGAGGTGAAAACCGTTTCAGCAGCAAGGTGCTAAGTTTCCTGTTTGAGCTATTGCGCAAGCCAATCACAAACGAGAAGATGCGTGCATGTTAGTGTACGTTCGACAGCAGTATAACCCACCCACCTCCCTCCCTTCCTCCTTTGTCCTACCCTTCTGGCCCGGAACACAACGCCCGATCTGGCCTAGAAGTTGCAACGAATACATACACAATGGCCAGGCGTCGTGTTCGGGGGAATAAGAGTAGGTTCCCCCCCCCCAAGTTGCTGAACCTTCCTGTCAAAGTATCTCCCCTCGCATGCTCCTTCACACCCATGAGTATTGTTCTCTACCTCCTGTCACTCTCTCCCTCTTGCTCTCCGACTTCCTCTTCATCCAGGCCTTCGCGGTTTCATACTTGGCCTCAAGTTCCCAGGCTCTCTCTCTCTCTCTCTCTCTCTCTCTCTCTCTCTCTCTCTCTCTCTCTCTCTCTCTCTCTTGCTCTGCCCGTCGCTCCATCGGCAGCCTTGGTGTTCTCGTCCAGGTATCCATCGGAGCGTAATGGTACCAAACAAACAACTTTCCTGCATGTATGTGGCCGACTGGATTCCGTCCCCAAAAGATTAAGAAAAATTCCTGTTCTGAGTATTATTCATAATGCTCCCCCCCTTATTCACTGGCGTTGAGTCCAACCATGGCGGCGCTCTCCTCCCACACTTCTCTACACAGTCCCTCATCCTCCCATAGCCGGTTCGGCTTGGCGCACTTACACTCCTTGAAGTACCCCCCACTCCCAGTCACCTCTCGCGGATTGGTCGCAAGATGGAGTGACATGGCAGCCCCCTGTTCTTTCCTCTTCCTCCACCTTCCTCTTCCCTCCCCATTCTCCCTGCTCGATCTGTCTCCGTCGTATTCTTTCTATCTTTCTGCGTGCATGGCTGGAAATCTCTCTCTCTCTCTCTCTCTCTCACACACACACACACACACACACACACACACACACACACACACACTCACACACACACATACACACACACACACTCACACACAAGTGTAGTAGTGTTTTTTCCATGTTCTAGTGGAAGATTCATTCCATTTTGCTCATCCTATTGACTGAAGTAGCGTGAGGCCAGCTGCAGCATCGGAGACTTACCTGTTGGCCTCT